TTTCAGGGTTAGTTTGCCCTTATAAATGAGCAAGACGTTTATGAAAAATATTGTGGGTTTTAATTGCAGTGAATAAAAATGAAAGCTCTTCTGTTGATTAATATGGAAAAAAAATTGAACTGGAAAATGAAGTGTGTGATATGACATTCAATTTATGGCTTGAAAAAAATGAACCTGCCCAATTTAAGAGAAACTGATGCTCATGTTATCTTTTGATTAAATCAGCAGCCCAGATTTCCCTTTACTTGTCAATGTGGTTCTTGTGTCGGAAGCTGTGATGAGAGTCTATGCAATGAAATATACATGGAGGATGTTTGTAGAAAACAGACCTGTCAATCAAACAGGGTAATCAATGTCGGAAGCACCTGTTTCTTCTGGCACATGATCATGACAGGAAATAGACGCTGCTTTTTATAGAAATATACAATGGAAATGTGAAACTTTGAATAGGGATGTCTTTGATTACATGCAATATTGACAAGAAACTATATATAGGTGGTTATGATCATAGCTAATTTAAGGCTGATGAAGTAAGTATATGATGAGCATTTAATACAGGTGGAGATAAGGTCATAATGGTGGGAGTGACAACATTCCACACAATTCATTAGCCTAAGATCATTTCAGACTACAACACAAGATGGACAAAACCAGTAGTTAAGCTGCTTAGACTCTGCGACTATGTACTTAATTTCACTATAAACTCTATAACTGATATACAATATAAAACTTTGTGTTGTAGGACTGCTAATTTGAAGCCCTCTTAATTTGACTGGTGTTCACATGATGAAGATGGCGACTTGTCTTCCTGCAATTGTCGGGGCGGTGGGGTAGCCTAGTGGTTAAAGCGTTGGCTCGTCACGCCGAAGACCCGGGTTTGAATCCCCACATGGGTACAATGTGTGAAGCCCATTTCTGGTGCTCCCCGCCGTGATGTTGCTGGAATATTGCTAAAAGCGGCGTAAAACCAAACTCAGTCAGTCCTGCAATTGTCCTATTACATTCTGACACAGAAATAGCAGCATCAGAGCAACTGTCATATCTAACATCCCGGTCTCAGGAGTAGTGATTAACATTTTCCTGGACAAGATTTTTGCCACAGCGTGATCATTTCATTTCTCCAGTGACATACTTCTCGATGTTATGGAAGATTTATGTCTTTCCATGTTAGAGTTCATGATAATTTACAATTTTAGAACATACAGGAGATTTGTCATTTTATCAAAGCGTAAGCTTGCCCCAATAACACATCCAAATGTTGCCCTGCATGTAAAGATGTCAGTCCGGTTAAATTAACCTGGAAACATTTAAAGGAGCACCCTGGGTGAATACTCTATACCCACCAAGTGGGCTTGTGTTGCCAGCTGAATTAGCCCTTTCCTACCTCTTGACTGTCGAAGTGATTATGTTAGAAAGCTGATACACCTAGATCCATTTAAGTGCGCTCACAGCACTCCTTCCCTCCCTCACCCCCTCTTGCCCCTGGAAGGTGTACCCCCACAAGGAGTATCGGCACCCAGTGCTTGGATCTTTATGCAAAGGTTTTCAAATTTAGTTAATGCTTTGTGGTAGGTTTTTAAGTGTACTGAACTGTTTAGAAGGGATGTGATAAGTTAAAAAGTATCATATTAAGTTTTTCTGTTCATTTATGTATAAAATGGAAATGATGAGGTTTTATGTCATGGTGAAGTGCTTTATGGTAAAATAATCTGAAATGTATCAGTGGTAAGGTGAGATTTACCTTATGATTATGCAAGGCACTGGGAGATTGACGGCCAGATTTTCTAGATCAATTGGAATCAGTTTCAAAATCAAGGTTTTCTTTGGAATCTGGACTTCACACATCATTACATGTCTAGATTGTTTGTCATAAATTTGAAAACAATATGTTTCTATTGAACTTAGTAAACAGAGCTCCCTTGTAGATTCACCTGATTGAACATGTGCTATCTGAGCCACAGGGATTGCTATCCATGAGCTTTACAATTACACTTTACAACAGAGTTTTATTGCTTGCGAAGGTCGGTAAAATGGAATCAAAATGGATGAAAAATAGTCCCGGGCAGATCAAAGAGCCACAGTAATTTTAAAGCAAGATTTCATTTAATCGCATGGATGATTTGTGTTTTTTATTCTTCGCCCAACAGATTTATCATGATTTCTGAAATGTCTATACGACTACAAGCTGGCAGCTGGTTTAGAATGGCACCATTCTGCACTATGCATTAACTGTTGGTAACCAATAGCAACCAAGTGGAATCACAGCTAGACATCACATGCAGTGCGCTGCACTTGGAGTGTGCCCACATTTCAAGTATTCAACTGAGTTTAATTAAACTTAAACCTTTTTGTCTGCCAGTCAGGACATTTTACCAATAAAAAATGCAAATGACAATGATTGATTTTCCCCTTTCCATCCACAGTTGAAATTTTAAATGAAATGGAAAAAAGCTTTGTTTCTTGGAATAGTGAGGAAATCATCAAATTCATTTTCATGGTGTGAAGACTATTATGACATGAATAGCTGATTTTACTCAGGTATGATTTTGTGGCTCCCCGATATGAATATTTATTTTAACATAACGGGTAGATAAAGTAACTGAGCATGTGTTGTTTTCAGGTAAAAACTAAGTGGGGAAATTAGTGTCATTTTTAGATGTCATTGATAAAGTATTCTTTGCTGAAAACAAAGTACATTAGATTTGAAGTCATATTTAACAGTAGTGCGTGAAGGTTTGTTCGTGTAACGGTAAAAGCTTAATAACACTTTCCTTGCTAGTCAGGGAGGTTTATGATAACAGTTTGAATGTTGTAAAGGTAATCATGATCCAGATATGAAATCAACAAGTTTGAAAATAGAGAGTCATAAGAGCATAAATAATATATTTGTAATGATTATTCATTCCTTAGTAATTCACAACATTGAGAAAGATATTTTTGTAAGTTGCATGAAAACTATTTTCAAGAATGTATTGTGAGGAATTAGTCATTTAAAATTTTAAGCTGTCTCTAAGGGGGCTAATTTGCATGAATTTGAATATCTCACTCATAAATCAGTCCCAGATTGTCTGTGATCTTGTCATTTGACACTAATTATTCACACCAAATGCTGCTTTTTGTGGAGAATCATTGTCAATTTCACCTTTGAAGATGTCACTCACAAGTTTAGCACTTTCTGCTGATGAAGACAAAGAAATCCTTCCAATTAGAAGCTGATGTTTGGGTGACAACGTGTGTCTTATCCGTCTTGTCACTTTTGCATCAGTTTCGCTGTGAGCATGAACTGTGGAAATTGACATGGTTTCACATTTTAACGATGTCACAGTAATGAAATTGATTTTTGTTTAGTGGATTACTGATAACTTTGTAAGGGGCTCTGAAGAACTGATGAGGAAGAAGGGAAATATTTTACAAACTCTCACAGCAAGAAGGCGACTTTACTGAGATATCTGCAGTGAAGCTGTAAATAAATCATTGATGACAAATGTGGCCTTGTAAAAAGACAATATTTTGATGATGCTGAATGTGTTCCAATGACAGAATTTGAATCTGGAAAAGATAAACAGTTACAATATAAAAGTAGTTAATTGAAACACAGCTGATATAAATTTAATTTGAACATCATCAGGCTTTGAGACATGTTTTACCCAGACAAATTGATATTAGCAAAAATATCTAATGAACACACTGCAGTAATCCATTTGTGCCGACCCATAGAGACCAAGTGGCGCCTGTCATTTTTGAACAGTCAAGAACATTTTCATGATAATTACCAGAAAGCCAAACCCAATTGGATGGGATCTGTTGGTATAAAATCTTCACTAAACCTGTCTCCACCTCAGCCAACAAGGAATTAACATGAGACTAATTGACTTGCAGTATGTCGTGTAGGTATCAGTGTAAATTGTAAAACAAGTCATGTATTCTCAGTGGATGTCTGGCAGACACAAGAGCTGGTGTCCCTCACCTTTACAAACCCCACTGGATCACCATTCGCAATCATCTGACCTCAGTAGACTCATCTAATTCTCTTCGGGACCATCATTCAGTTTGCTGTAGCTGTGGTGATCAAAGTGTCATGTATACTGCAGAAATTGTGTTCTTATCACCATTAAACGTAGACAAATTTGCACATACAGACATCCAGAATCATGTAAGAATGAAAACATTAATATTGATTGAAAAATATTTTCAAATATTTAACCAGGAACAAAGCTGTTGTGAAAGTCTTTCATTTAACATGTTAAGCCAGACCTTTAACATTTTCAACTTTACCATTATATTTTGAAACTTTGTCCTTTGACCTAAACATGAATTGACCTTTGCTCTATGAGTTTGACCTGAAACACAAAACATTGCCGTCTGTCTGTAGCATGTCCATGACTGAGTGAGTGTGTTGAGGAGTAGAAGCCCTCACCCTGATGCTCCACTGTAATAGATCTCCTCTTTCACACATCGTAATGAAGCATAAACATGGCATCTGCATCAAAGCAAATCTTTTTTTCTCACCAAAGAAATTCCTGTGAGATTTAGATCAGGCAAGATGATTCTGCCTGAAATTCTAGAAAAGAAAAAGTAAATAGATAAATTCTTACTGTAGAACTTTGATATGTTTTCCAAGCACAGAATACAGATGTTGTGACCTGAGAGTATCGGTATAAATAGAAAATAGTGGAGAATTACAATACACCTGATTTCTAGCTGAAGCCTGCCTGTGTATATTAAATGAGATTACATCCTCTGACAGTATGAGTGAGTATGGTTTAGCATTGCTTTGAACAGTATTGCAGTTATATCAATCCGTGTCAGCTTAACATGGTTGTCTGAAGTGATGCAGATCTCAGCCATTTACCACTTCTGTAAACCTATGTGCATGGGGCTAGTGCTCACAAAGCTAGAAACATATTTTCTGTGAACGGGGATTGAAACCAACTAAGTTTCTGTTGTACTCATGTGACAAAATTGTGATATGTATTTAATGTCTTGTTTTCATCTTTCAGGTATACACGTATTGTTCCTGAATCGAGTTTCATTGCACAGGCCAAGGCCAACCCAGAGGTGAAAGTTGATGTGAGGCCAAACTATGATCTGCTGAATGTTAAAGAAAAACTGATCCATATGAGAAGGGTAAGAGAAGAACAAATCCCACTGAAGACTTGTCTTTTGGTTCTTGTTATGAGCACTGTATGATGTTATGATGCCTTGATGTATTTAAGTGAAATGACTCATGCGGTTCATGGATAATGAACTACGATGTCACGGTATGATATGTGTTGTTGTATGATGTAATGAATGTTGTATTACTTACTAGCTCTCTTGACATGACACCTGATCTTGATTGAAACCGTAATTTGTCTAGTGTGACACAGTGTATTAAATGGTGACATGAACTCAAGCTCCTTTTCTTAGATGTCTTTTGGAATTGTCAGAAGGTACGAATTCATTGCTCTACACAATCAGTGTCTCCAACAATGGAATATTTAGGACAAGTTACTAATCAAATTTGAAAATGAATGGTGTCACTGAAACCACTGTTGTGCATTATTCAGTTTTCTTGCTTGATTGTATTTTAATGTGTCAAAGAACAGCAAACATACATGTGAGGAAATGAGGGTTGGCCTGTGACAACACTGTTGTAATTGACCAGATTGTGGTGGTGTCACTGATGGTTAAGGCATTGATTAGGTAAAGAGTTTGTTAGGGACATGGATGATGAGTTCTAAGATGCCTAGCGGTTAGAACAATCGGAAAAAAAATACATTATCAGACAATAAAGGTATAGTTTTTTGATGACGTAACGATTGAATGACGTTATCCCGTCACTGCGCCATTCTAGTGTGCCCCCTCGTAATCGAACCATTTTACATTACGTCACAATGTAAGCGACGTCACGATGCATGTCAGTTGTCATCGCCTCGTACGTGCTCCTACAGTAAACTACACCGTTGCATCCAGTTTCTTGGTTTGCTGTTGCTTCACGCAGCTAACATCACTGGTGGAAACATTACGTTTATGTTTTACGACGGTAAAAATGTGTCATTTCGACTCACAAGTTTTCAGCGTCCGCGGTAGCGTTAAGTAATGTTTACATTCCCACAATGCAATTGTGGAATGTGGCTTGACTACTCAACTTCCTCTGGATGTACTGATCTAAACTTACGCTGGTAGTAGAAATGCAACGTTCATATTGCCCCATATGGTTTACGTTAATGACAGATGTAATTAAAATAATTCAGAGAAGATATTTAATCCGAACGTAAACCGTCATCAAACTGTTATCATTTGTTTTTTCTGGTAATGTTCGTCTTAACGTAGGGGGGCAGACACATCAATAGAACAGCGAGCCAGTTAGCCCTGTGCGAGGATTCTTAATTTAGGTCACCGACACCGTCGTTTGTTTTCTGCCTTAAATTAATCGTAATTATCTTTAGAAAGTATTAAATTTGGCATCTTAGAAGAAAGAAATACACTTAGCCCTAGTGTACATGTATAGTGTAATAAAACACACTTTAAGCCCTGAACTATTATAGTTAAAGCACGAGGACACTTAGCGTCCTCGTGCTATAACTATAATAGTTCAGAACAAAAGTGTGTTTTATTACACTATACATGGTAGTAAGGCTAAGTGTATTTTTTAAATAGGTAACACTTGCAGGAATCCAGAAAGGGACCTGTAGGTGAAGAAAAGTACATGGTTATTTGCAGTAATATATATATATATACTCTTGCTGGGACCTGTAGGTGAAGAAAAGTACATGGTTATTTGCAGTACAACTTCTTTAAGTAATATATATATATACTCTTGCTGAAATTTGAAATATTTTCTTGAATGTAACTATTTTGAAAAATGCATAAACATTAAACAAGTTGGTGATTGTTTTAGAGCATATTGTTCAAAATTAAGTATGAAAATCAGGGGTCCTCACCTAATGTTACAAGCTGTAGTGGGTCTTGGGGTTCAAAAGCCATGTAAAAAGACTTCAGGACAAACAATTGGGTTCTTAAAATTTTCATGTTACCCGAAATTGACCTGACAGTGATGAATTGTGTAGTCTGTACAATGCTGGTAGGGTTGGACTGAAGTCTCATATATAGCATGGATTCATTTAATAGGTGCATAGACACCACAATAGTGAAATACAAGTACAGTGGGGGACGTACTGAGTGAAAAGGTATCAAACAATGCAGAAAACAAATAGTTTGATGTAGAGATTCATGGTGGAACAATGACAGACATGTCCAATCAGATGGAGAAAAGAATCAGAAAGCAGCACTTACCTGGGGACATGCATACCTGTGCTGACTGTAATGCTTATACAACACAGGTGGATATTGGCTGCTATTGATTGAGTTGAATGGAACACATCTCCCAATTAATGGAGCTTTCTATTTGTCATGCGTCTGTGTCATGTTTCTTTATAATGTCTGTATGACGGTATTGAAACTCACTAATCGGAAGGGACAGTGAATCATCTGCATATTTCTGCTTGGTTAGTCAGTACAGTGACGAAGCAACGAGTCATAGGATGGGCTGGGGATGACTGTGGTAGTGAGGGTACAGGTGGCATAGGTAGGATATAGATTTAGTTTGCACCTCTAGTTCCTGTTCATATTGGACTGAAGTACTGGAAATGGAGCTAAGATAAGACCAAGGTTTGAGGTTGGTTCATGTTCCAGGAATCTGGCTGATTTATAATTGAGTGCCTGATCACGACAGATGTGATCAAGGTACGATTACAACATAAGATCAAGATACTTACCAAGAATCCCTACAGGGCCGGGAACAAGAGACGTAGGCACAAGTTTGGATTTAGAGTTGATCTACAGCTTTCTACTGAAAGAAAGGTACATGAGCCAGAGGTTTGATACTAGGGTTGGTCTACACCTCTGGTTCTTGGGGAGAATGGTGCTGGAGACAAAAGTTTGATATTGGATTGGTCTGCACCTCTGGACATAAGTTATGGAATTGAAACAAGAAAGGTTACTATAGCAATTACCCTCATATGGCACAACACAGTGAGAACAGATATAGCACATATACAACACAGATGTAGCTCTGTTGTACTGAGACTCAGATGTCACCGGTACACATGCAACCACACAAATAGCAAGTGGGTAGCTGGCTTTACCTATACCAACATGTAACCCGGCACATATCATGTTGCAAGGCAGACCACCCCAAGCCTATTTGTGGCTGCCAAGCAATAATAAAACACAAATTGAACAATGCAAGTTCTGAACTGCAGTCTTGTCACTGAAGAGGAATTTTACCCCCCTGATTGTTGTCACAATCAGATTGGTAATCCATGCTGTTTGTGACATTGTGTGTTGACAGGTTCTTGTATACTTGTAACTTCACCATTGTCTGCAGCAGGATCAAATACTTGTAAGAATGTGAACAGCGAAGACAAATGCATGTACCATTGTCAACAGGAAGTTCAATGCTTGCTCCTGTTGTCAACAGCAAGGTCCAATGCTTGTACAAAGTCATTAATTGGGTCACTTATTGCACACAGGCCAATATTCTGGGTTATTATTTGTATATGTCCAGTGTACACCAAGATGTATACACCATACTCCTAAGATCTATTTTTCACTGCTGCTGTGACTGATCAACGTCAGTGACCTGTCAGTCTCCTTGTCTGTGTAGCCCCATGTGGAGACAATAAATCACTGCGCTTCATTACCCAACAGACAAAGACAAGGAAGAGGGGGCAGTGTCAGACAAGGGAGGCAAATCATCCATGTAGAAGAGACGTTGCCATGAGGTTCTCGTTTGGGTGTGTTGTGCAGGATAATGTTCAGATACCTTTGGTGAATATTTTCCCAGAAATAGGAGCTGTTATAGTATTACTAAGCTTCAGTGAACATTTGTCCAATTCATCGCCCAGTCTGACTGGCATTGCCAGTCACTGGCCCACATCTTTAATGGCCCTAATGCACTTCTGTACCAAAACCTTAAGTCTGTTTCCCAAATAGCTGAGCAAAATACATTTTGTCCTTATCTTTGGATCTGTGTGGAAATGGGAGTAATAGGAAGTAATCATGAGTGCTTTTATGCTCAGGTGTTACTGCCAGGTGGTCACAGTGAAAGGAAAGCTGCATGTTGACAATTAATTTGAGATATATATTGTGTTGTTTCATGCCACTGTACAGGAAGTATTATGTTTCACTGTTTTCTGCATTAATGAAAGGACAAGAAGTAGTTTGGAAGTTATGTTTTCAGGTCATTGCTACATAATGTCAACAAAGGTTTTTACTGAGAAAGGTTTTAGCTTAACTTGGAAAAGTAGAAAGTTGATGAAGTAAGTTTACTGGTTTCTGAATATCAGTGCCTGGAATGTAGCTGGTGGCATTTGCTTAAGTAATGAAAGTGGCAAATGTGAAAGTTGTAACAAAACACTTCTGCTCTTTGCACAAACAATTGTTGCCATATATTGGAACTAAGGAACATTTTTGGAGCTTTCATTAGATTTGATGTTAGTAGTTACTGATGGCTCTTCAGCCATGTTAGGACCACTGTTTGTTTTATGCAGGGTTCAAGTATTTATACAGGTGCCCACTGCAGTTAGGAAGGTATTTCCAGTGTCTGTGATTTATTCAAACATATTTTTTTTAACCACACAGCCACAGCATTGGCCTTCGTTGCAAACTTCAACTTCGCTACAAATATACATTTGCTTGCCTGGAAAGCCCTAAATAAATCCTTTTGCAATTTGGAAATTTCAAGACTTAAGACTCGAATAATTATATTGAACATGAAAGAAACATAAATTTTATTAAGTAACATTTTCTTCTCGAAATGCTAACATCACCATCCTATTCATGAGAATGAATGAATAAATGAATGAATGAATGAATGAAAAGTATGCTGTTGCATGACACCTGAAAAAAGCTTTGTATGTTTGTTATTCTCCTACCTAGTAGCTGTATGCTATGGATGCATGAAAAAAGATGTCAAGATGAGTGAGATGACAGAAATAGATAGAAATAATCAAATGTATCCCCAAAGTCCCTGTGCAGAATAGACCTTCAGTACTCAGGTTTGTGAGATCTGATAAAAAGAACAAGTGGAGAAAGGTTTTCATGGTTCTGTTGTAATTTTAAACACCATGCCAAGGAATAATCAGTCCAAAAATTTTCCCGTGAGCACACGAAAAAACCTCGGTAAGCTAAAAGATAAGCACACAATGTTTTCTGCATTTCCGGCGGTACCCTCCACACAGGATTACTCTTGCCATATAATAGGTTTCTCTTGTACAAACTTGATTGCATTCACAATACATATGTATATAGTACGTGGTTGTATGTTTCAGAACCTGAGCATATTGTTGATGGATGAGCAGATGCAGGGAGACAGCCCTCAGGAGCTGTATTCCAGTGGGGAGAGGAGGATCAAGAACGAGAACATTCACATCAATGACGATGATGAGGACCTGTATGACCCCTCTGGCAGTGGTAGCGGGGATGACAGTGTTGATAAAGATCCAGGTGGGCATTTGGTGCTTTGTTCCACTACACTGACATTTCTCTACTGTTTGTGGACATGGGAACAATTAATTTTTCCAATTTTAATTCCTAAAAATGATTTTACATCTTTGGAAAAAAAATAATTTGATTTCATACTGCTATTGAAACTTAAGATGAATTGTCAATTTTGTTAATAAGGATTAGTTTGGCATGTGTTCCTGTACCCAGTGTTAGGGAAGAATGTTCCCTGGGCGCACTTGAAGAACTCTGCATCTGCACATGCAAGCCACACAGTAAGGTGACTGAAGCCCATATAGTGATTTCCTCGTAGACAAAGGTTCCTTCATGTTGTTGGGGACAGATTAAAACTGTGGTGTGCACTGCTTTTGGAGAGGTTCCTCCTGCCCTGTGAGCTCCTTCAAACTACTGACTAACCTTCTGTTTGACTTCATCCACCACTGACTATTAAGTGAATAATTTATTAACTCTTCAACACCAGTCAGCCAGAGGCATTTACTGCCATGACACCAAGTTCCCAGAGACTCAGAGGTCATAGATGAAGCCTATGTTTATCAATGAAAATATCAGCTCGTAAATCATTATTACTACTACATATCATACACCATTTGAAAGGTCTAATCCTACTGTTTAAAAATATGAAAATTAGTTTTTATCATATTATTCAAGTAATACGACTACAACTTAACCCATTCAACACCGCAGGCCGAATAATCGGCCACAACGTTATGAGTCCCCAGACACCGGAGGCCGATTAATCGGCCAGGCAGTAGTCACGTCAAAATGAGACATAATTTTAGGAACCTACCTGACTTTTGATTCATATATCAAATCTATCACATTTCACAATGTCTGAAAACACTTATTAAATTTCAATTTATCATATATTATCAGCAGAATTAAAATTATAAACTATTTTTTGCAATATTATTGAAAACAACGATTCTCGGACACATGCTTCGGCAGCGGGTCCACAATAACATTGTCAAAGAGCAAAGTAACGATGTTTCGAGGAAATTATTAAATAAATTGAATAAACTAATGAATAAAATCAACAACAGCATTCATAAAAGTTGTCAAACGTACATATAAAATTACTATTTCCATCTTTTTGTGCGATCATGTAATGCAAGTCAAGTCACTGACAAGTGACATCTCGCTCTCGCCGCCTCAATCTTCACGCTTTCGGACCACGATGTTTAATGCGAAAATACATACATGAAGCATTTTGTCACAGGTCATAACCTAGCACGCGATCGATCCAATAAGTTCCATAATATACATATTGGTAGCGATTTCTTGCTTAATATGTTCTGAATAGCATTATTTTACCCAAAACTTTTGTCCAAATCTAAAGATTTCGCTTATGAACCACGGTATCCATTGCCGTAATATGATTGGCTGCCTTAGGTCACGTGTCTGATTTTGACCAATCACAACCCTTATAGCAGACTGTGGTGAAAAGCGTCATTAGAAACCAATCTTTATCCAATAAAATCGCTTCTTACAACTGTGAAAATACTCTTGGCAAGGGTACAGTGATATTGTTGATGTTCAGAGCTTTTCGAAGCGATGCCCGACATCAAAGCGATTTGCCGCGCATGTTATTCATCTGAAGCGAAACGGAGGTATTTTCAGTTGTTATGTCATTTTACCGGAGCGGAAAGCCGCAGATATTGGGAAATAGGCGACCATACATATTGTTTAAGAAATCTTTTTATAATAATTTTCTGATTACGTAAAAATGAAAATATAAAAGAAAAAGGCCGCGGGCAATTTATGACATGTCACAAATGGAAAAATCGCCATAGTTTTTTTGCTCCTTTAGGTGGTTTATCTGGGCGTTACAAATGTAAGCTTGCATTTTCATTCAAATATAAATTTATTTAAGTTGTAGTTGTATTATTTGAATAATATTATAAAAATAAACTCCATATTTATCAACAGTAGGATTAGATCTTTTAAATGGTGTATGGGATGTAGTAGCAATAACGTTTTAGAAGCTTATAATTTCCTTCACAAACATAGGCTTCATCTATGACCTCAGAGTCTCTGGGAACTCGGTGTCATGGCAGTAAATGCCTCTGGTTGACTGGTGTTGAAAGAGTTAAATACCACCATTTTGAAGCTTCGTGTGAATAACATGCGAGGTGAATCGTTTGATGTCGGTATCGTTCGAAAGCTCTGAACATCAACAATATCACTGTACCCTTGCCGAGAGTATTTTCACAGTTGTAAGAAGTGATTTTATTGGATAAAGATTGGTTTCTAATGACGCTTTTTCGCCACAGTCTGCTATAAGGGTTGTGATTGGTCAAAATCAGACACATGACCTAAGGCAGCCAATCAGATAACAGCAATGGATACTGTCGTCGTAAACGAAAACCTGCAGGTTCAGACGAAAGTTTTGGGTAAAATCATGCTATTCTGAACGTGTTACGCAAAAAATCACCACCTATGCGTATATTATGGAACTTAGTGGACGTATCATGCTAGGTTATGACCTGTGACAAGAAAGTTTATTGCATATATTTTAGCATTAAACATCGTGTCCAAGCATAAAGTTCGAAGCGACGAAAGCCGAGATGTCACTTGAATTACATTACACGATCGCACAATAAAGATGGAAATAGTAAGTTGTAACGTACATTAGACAACTTTTATGAGTACTGTTGTTGATTTTATTCTTCCGTTTATTCAATTTGTGTAATTATTATCTCGAAACATTGTTACTTTGCTCTTTGACAACTCTGATGTGGACCCGTTGCCGAAGCAATAACATTGCGAAAAATAGTTTATAATTCTAATTCTGTCGATTATATATGGCCATTTGAAATGTAATAAGTGTTTTCAGGCATTATGAAAAGTGACGGATTTGATAAATGAATCATATGTTAGTTAGGTTCCTAAAATTATATATCTTTTGAGGCGACTACTGCCTGGCCGGTTTTCTGGCCTACGGTGTTTGGGGACTGGTGACATCTTGGCCTGTTTTCCGGCCTACGTTGTTGAATGGGTTAATACAGTCCATCATCATTTTTGGTAAATCGGGATAAGTATCCTCAGAATTATTTCTTTCAAATGAAACATTAACTCGCATGGACAGCCCCAAAATTTATTGAACAAATCTGAAAAAATAAGGTGCAAAATAGAGTTTGAACATTGTGCAGACTGTATTAATTAGGTTTCTGGAATGTGAAAAAACTAAAGAATTTGTTACAAAGCTAACGTGTGTTTCATGTGATTGATATGTAAAATATCAGGGAGACTGGGTTCCATCAATTTTATCCCCAAGGGAATTAAGTCACAATTTACGTTTTCTTGCTATCGCGAAGGGCACAGAATCGATGTACAAATTAAATTTTGTCGCGTGGAGTCCAATTTGGTTGACATACGCAGGTAGGGGAGTCTTGTACCTGACTTGAATCTAAGACATTAGAAACTGACAGAAATGTCTTTATTTTGTGCCAGGCAAGTTGGTTTTTAACAGCTGGAGAGAAGTTTTAGTGCATTTTGCCTAACATGTCCTTTAGAAAGTGACAGTTATTTGAAATTCAAGAAATTATAATTTCATATTGGAGGAAGTAATCAAAGCATTATTGTTAAACCATTGATACAAAAGTTTTACACATGTAAATTTAGCATGTGAGGATAACAGTGTCACCAGGTCGCTGTACAGGGAGACATGAACATATTTGCGAACGTTACGTGCACACAGTTTTTGTTCTCTTCAAACCTTTGAAGGCTTCAATTGTATACATGATTCATTGTAAGGTTTCCAATATTCTAGTGTTTAGCATGATAATGTGAAGTGTCTTTATCAAGCTGTCCTAACAAAGAACTGTTCTCTTGTCCAATTATGTTTGAGTGATAGAAGATGATATTTGTTTAGTGATAAAAGATTATACATTCTTTGGGTATTTGATGCATTTAAAACATCCTATTCTGAAAGGATTGTCATGATTGATACCATTGATGCTTTTTAAAAAATACCCAGGAAATATATATGTCATCACAACAAAATTATTTTTGTCTTCTTGTTAGGCAGTACTTACTGCTTGACCCAAAACCTCCATGTCATAAATCTTCAGGCCTTTGAAAATGGCAATGATGTAGGCTGTATTTCGCATTTTAGATCTGTTTTTGTTCTCTTCTCATCAGTGGGTTCTGAACAAGGAAAATGACTTTCCTATTGATTTTTCTGGTATCAAAAGCAAGGAGCCCATGGGAGCTAGGTTTTATTGCTTTTGGGGATCCTTCTTCATGCAGCCTAGTGAGCTCGTTCATAGCGACAAGTGCACCTATAGAGTCATTAGACGTGATGGGACCTGCTGAAATGAAACCTAGTCTATTTCAATTTAAGCAGGGCTTACGTTATTTGTCCATTTGGCTGGTTTTATACAACATTAATCACAATCTTGAGTATGGATAGAAATATTAATGATAGGAATCTGCATTTTGTGGGAAGCAATTAATCATTTGGTCTTCGATTGATCATCAAATGAATATTGATGAAGTTGAATTTCATTATCCTAGATAGGTCTAAGACATCAATCTCTTGATACTGACCTATGTTTTGTATCCACAATGCTCCAGGGATGTTGCATCATTAGAGGATATGTAACGTTCTAGGGCTTATTATTATTATTTTTTGTCTTATTGGAATATTAAGTATAAGATTACACCTTTGACCACCATTTCCATTGTTCTGTTGTGGGGATCCTCACATCAACTTAAAAGTATGGAATAGCTTTATAAAGTAAAAAATTAGGCAAGAAATATGAAGCTCTTATGTATGCGTGTCTTATGTCTTTAGTCAGCACATTCAAACTAGTAAGTACATATAAGGAGGCATGCTTACATCTTCAGCCTGATGGGCCACCCAGTTTGCTTTATGTCAGTGGTGAATGTTTGACCTGTGAAGCCAGGCCGACTTGGCCCAGTAGTGAATGTTTGACCTGTGAAGCCAGGCCGACTTGGCCCAGTAGTGAATGTTTGACCTGTGAAGCCAGGCAGAGTTGGCCCAGTAGTGAGTGTTTGACCTGTGACGCCAGGCAGAGTTGGTCCAGTGGTGAATGTTTGACCTTTGAAGCCAGGCAGAGTTGGCCCAGTAGTGAATGTTTGACCTGTGAATCCAGGCAGAGTTGGTCCAGTGGTGAATAGTTTGACCTGTGAAGCCAGGCCGACTTGGCCCAGTAGTGAATGTTTGACCTGTGAAGCCAGGCAGAGTTGGCCCAGTAGTGAGTGTTTGACCTATGACGCCAGGCAGAGTTGGTCCAGTGGTGAATGTTTGACCTTTGAAGCCAGGCAGAGTTGGCCCAGTAGTGAATGTTTGACCTGTGAACCCAGGCAGAGTTGGTCCAGTGGTGAATAGTTTGACCTGTGAAGCCAGGCAGTTGGCCCAGTGGTGAATGTTTGCGAATCTGACCTGGAAAATAAAGAGAACCAGAGGCCCAGGTAAGCTGCGTATCCGGGTAAAATACGCATAGAAAATTCCCATTTACGCATTGAAAAATAATTGTTGCGTACCAATTACGCAAATAAAAATGTTAGATACGCAAAAAGTTTAAAACAATGGGTACGGAATGTATTTATAAAAATCACTTGCGTAATGAAAATGACATCGATTGCTATCAAGTTGTACTGTTAGTATAGGGCAAGTGTTGTACTGTCAGTATAGGATGAGTGATTTCCATTATATTTAAGTTGGTTTTGATTAGGTATGACATAAGGCAGAACATACCTGCTTAGTAAACTTACTCAATGACATAATACTTAGGTGAGTAAAATGACTGAAATACGCACATATTTGAAAGCAGTGGGTAACAGAAATTGAAATACCCACTCAACATTCATAATACCCACTCCAAAAACATACAGTGGGTACAGTACCCACATGAGCTAAATCTTATCTGGAGCTCTGGAGAACTTTCAACTCATCACTCACAAACTTACACCAGGTGCCGTCTCAATCCAATAACTATTTATTTTTCATGTTTGTTTCAGTTGCTCCAAGACCAACACCTCCATACTCCCACAAGCCGAAGCCACCTACAGATTCAGGAGCATTAGTAACCATGACCTGGTCAGTGATTGCACTGTGTTACTGCCTGGCCCAGGTGGTTCATGTGTGAGAGTGAGACCAACCAGGCTGCTGTCTGGATGATTGACACATCTGTCATATTTCAAGCTGCATTTTGAGAGACAATTGATAGACCCGAGGACAAACACATATGCAATTCCCAGGATGAATACAAGGAACAGGCTGCTATGACCTCTTCCGAGGCCTGTCTGTGATAGATTCTGAACTTAAGAAGATGATATGATATCCATTAGTAACCTCAGTCTGGTATCATCTCAGGAAAGTTAAATTATTACCTGTAATGCCTTCAAACAAATTTTTTTAATTTAGCCAGAAAAAGAAATTACTTGGCATTTGTGACAAGGGAAACATGGTTCTGAAGATTGTGGATCTGCCTCCGAGGGTTTGTCGTGTCATGTGACTCTATACAACTGCAGCTGAACTATGTGTTAATTATTGTCACTTGGGAAATATTGGTGCTCGTTATATCCATGGTGTGAATAGTTGATTCAACTATGAAGAAAATATGTGACGGGGGTGGAACCCAAGACCTTGTGACGTGTATGACAGACAGATGTTATCAAAACAATTCCTTCTCTAAAAACGTTCAAGCTACACACTTGACAAACATGACCAAAGTAAGGTCAGTGTCAAGGTGAAGGTCATATGAAATGGGAGATGGATAACGTGGCATTAGCCATGATATTAAAGATTTCAAAATGACCTTTTCCAGGTGGAATGTAGATGGACGGATTAAAAGCTGTCAAATCTCTAGCTGATTGAAGAAAGAAGTTAACTTTGTTGGGACGACTGAGTACAATTGTGTGTCATGGCAAAATCCTGGACACTTAACACATTTAGGTATGAAAAACTGCTGGATTAGAACCATCCTTTGCAGCAATATAGAGGAAATGTCCCTTCTTTGAAGCAAGGAATCCACAGGTTGTCCAGAGAATTAGAGTAACTGATTGTCTCTGTGGGCTGCTCGGTGAATGCTGAGATCGTGAAATTGATGTCATTTTGAAGTGATTACATGAAGTATGTTTTATTGGTGATGATTAGATGTATTTATGTTTCAGTCCTTATAATTATAACTGCAACTGCTAAATTGAGTATGTCCATTTACAACAAATACCTAAAAAAAAAGTATGTAAAAAATATCCAGTATACTACTCATTTCAGTGCTATTTTATATTGGATTATGTAGGTAGATCCATACATGTAAGTTTGAGATTATTATCATAAGCAACTATATAGAGCAGTTATACTGATGATTGTAAACTTTCCACAACAAAGAGGTTTTTTATGTTCACTCTTGTTTCTGGCTTGACTGTTGATGAATGAATGAAGACTTTTTAAATGAAGAATTTCATAGTGTCAGAATATTGTGCTGTCTGCTGTTGAAGCATGTGTATCTTTTAAATCTTATTTTTCTATCAAATAGACATTTCTACTGTATGGTATACTCAAAAACAAGCATCAAAGTTGTTTGGGGTGTTTTCTAATATGTAATCAAGCTTTTACAACAGACTTAGAAAAATGCAACTGTCTCAGAAACTCTAAAATATCCACTTGATGAAAATATTGACAGTTAATTGAAAATGTCTCCAGACGTTAAACGATTTGTCTCAGCTGATCAAAGGGAAGTAACTCTTAAAGACACCATCAAGCCCTCATTAATAGGCCAGGTGGAAATGTTATGATATGAATGTTTGTAGTTATTAGATTCATATGAATACTATTTATTGTGGGCTAATTTGTCAAGTTATTTCTGAAAGGATAGAAAATAAATCTATTTTACTTTAGAATGTCATAAAGTGTGAGATGCCAGATCTCCCATCTCTGCTTGTGAAGCGGAGTTGGAGGTTGTTTTATATAATGTATGATGTGTTGTCTTATACTGTAATTTAAGCCTTGTTAAATGATGCCAATATCACAACTTTTTTGTTTATTTTTCCTGTTGATGAGTGTTTCATGCTTGATGAGCTGTACAAACTTTTTAAGCTTTTAAATGTGATTATTATTAGGGTTTAAGAGAGAAAAAAGACTGTCTTTATGTGCAAGTGGTTTGATTTTTGCCTGTTTGCATGCTTGTCTCAAACTAGTGATCAAGTTGTGATGTTGTAAACGAATCTGTCTTTGTAAATATTTCAAACTTATCTCATAGGAATCAGATATTTTTTCACATTAGTCTTTACAATGGATAACCTGTGTATCTACTGTTACAGGAAAATATTATGTCAGTTCAGCATGTCACTGTTGCAGAAAGGTATCAATATTGCCATTAAAGAAATTGAAGACTTGTAGAATTTTTCTCCAATAATTTATGGCCATTTTATGGATTTTGTTTTGTTGAATTTCCTTGATGCACCAATGAGGCAAGAACCTCGCTTTTGTAAATGTCCTCAACTGTTTTGTCAAATCACCAAGTGCCATTGTCTGTAGTATCATTTCATAATGTCATTGTGCATAGCGCTTGGAGCTTATAGGTTGTCCTAAAAGTATCAAAACTGTTTCAAGGGAAAATCTGTCTTAGTTGCGAACTGTTTTAACTCTGAATGGCCGTTTTGTGTTTGTGTTGAATGTCAATCGGACCATGCTGCAATGGAATAAAGATGCTCTCTCTCTATATATTTTTTCATGTATGAAGTATCAAACAGAAGTTTGGAAGTCAAGGCTTTGATCTCTTTACAAGCTTTTGTGTGAAATTTTAATCAATTTTTTAAAGAAGTAAATCTGTTTCAACAGTACAACAGTAAGGGGGTTGTTTTGTATCTTTTGTAAGAAGTCTTTCAAGGAAGTTTTATTGCATCATGTCTTATATTTTTTTAATCACTCAACTTTTGCAATTAGTCCTAGTTATATATATATCTCTGCTTTTAATCCCTGTTTAAACTTTGTGCAAATAAAAGCTTTGTGATATGCGTTCAGCAATTGCTGTATTTGTAAGTATTTGGTTACATTATATGTGTTCCTTATTTGACGAAGGTGTATTTCATATAGATATCACTGGCCAGATTAGCTTATCTAGGTGGCTAAGTTTCCTTTAATCCCACAAATTTCCAAGTACATCATTCAGAGATGATATGGAAATCAGGTCCTGCTGAATGTGCAATTTGTGAAAGTTGAATCATGAAACAAAGTAATGACAACCGGATAGTGTGATTGACATCTGGTTCTTGTATTCATATTTGTCTGATTCTGGTATCTTTGTGTGATTGATAATCTGAGATATATAATGATAATGAAGATTGATTATCTGAGATACATAACCATGGTTGACTATCTGAGTTATATTACAGTGATTGGTTATAATACAATTTTTGATTTGTGGGAATGAAGAAAACTAAAGCTTTGACTGCCTTGTGTAACAGATTAGTTTCAACATGCTGTAGTTACTGAACATTCCTCATTAAAACAAACTCAGTTAAGAGCTGTCAATTTGTTCTATGGGTTCGATATTATTGATTTGGATAGTGAAAAGATTTCAAGATATTTCAATTTTTATATAAAATTAGTCAAACTATAAATATTTGACATTCATGTTTCCTTAAAAATGGTAATGAAATGATTTGTTTATATCTAAAGCTTGTGTCAGAAAATACTCAACCCTATTCAACGAACCTGTTCACACATTGTTAGCTTGCCCTCTCAATTAAAGGGAGGTAACTGCAATCTGGCCTCAGCTAAGGGGATTCCCCTACCATGCTTTATGCATAATTGTACATACTGTTGTTCTGGCAGACAGGAGTGTTTCACATAGAATATGAAATAAAGGCAGTCTCACCACATAAAATATATTCTTATTTTTCTTCTTTTTTTTTCGATGGAGAAACAGGAGTTGCACAGATCAGCGGGTTATCTCCAGGGAAGATAACCAACACTTGACTTAACTGAGAAATGATTCTCATTTATGGGAAGTGTGTTCAAAGTAATAACTGTACTCAGGTATCAATAGTAATACTTCACCCAAAATAAAGGGGATTAAATAAAAGCTGACTTCATTGGGCTGCAACAGGTAGGTTACACCATATCAGGGCTGCAGATAAGGTCCGTATTGGCGTATGTACGGCTAAACCATATGCACGATATGGTTGGAAATAATTTAGAAAACATAGCAGATACTCACCACGGCAATAATGTGCGGTCTTTGAATCATTTACAGACGTATTTATCTGAAAAAGTATTGTTTTATTTTTGTTCACTGACCTGTGTAAAAAAGAGTAGCAATGTTGTGATGCATATATGAAACGAAACACAAGCTTACTGATATTCCATTACTTTCCATTCAGTGCTCTAAATGTACTCTTAAGGTTTTCCAATACTCCTGTATTGAACAAATAAGGAGTACCTACTCCTGATGTTGAAAAATTATCTGAGCCCTGCCATATCCTTTCAAATACTGCTAAAGTTGATAATATGCAATTATAGAGTCTATAATTGTTTTATTATATAATGAAAGAGAAACAGGTTTTAACATTAACTTTTAATGCACACACTGCTATCTATCCGAGTGATCTGATTGGCTGAAAAGCGGGGGAAGCCCCTTCGTACGGGATTCCTTGTCTATTTTTAGTAACCCAAGTCAATATCGTAATTTATCAGAAAACTCAAGTCAATATCGTGTTTTGTAGTCAATCATGTGACGGTCTTTTGACCAATCGTGGTACAGGAAAAATACTACCTATATAATAATAAAGAATATTGACTGATATGGTAGAGACACCCATACATCATAGGCATTCTTAAAAGACAATATGAATGGACAACAGTTAATCACTGACAACCTAGTCGGGGGTTTTGTACCATATTTCAATGACCATCCCCTGAAAACAAGGTCAGTCTTTATTGATGACAATGCCAGGACACATCATTTTGGGGATTTCTTAGATCAAGAGGTGGTAACTTTACCTTGCCCCACCAGGAATAGAGATCCCAGTCTCATAGAACATGTTTGGGACGTTAGGGGTGCAGAATATGCCAGAGAGATGTATGGAACACTATATCTCAACCTCAAATTCATCGCCTTGTACAGTTAATGAGGAGAATTTCAGGGATGTTATTGTTAGTGGAGGTTACACAAGATATTACTATTGTCGGTGGTTATTGATTCTTGATGACTGTATTCCAGATTCTTGAAACTGACCACACTTATTAATCATATGACAATAGTTATGAGTCTCTTTTTGCTATGTTTGCTTCTCCGAACAAGCTACAGTTTTTCGCATTTAGATCTGCAATTTAATTATTCATTGATAGTACCTTAAATTTAGGTTTGGATAAGTTCCTTTGCTACAGTTAATGGTAATATACTTTGGAGGTAGAAATGGCGATACTTTTTTCTATGTGTGTGCACACACACGAGCACAAATATCTGCAGGAATGGTTATGACTTCATTATAGTGTACAAAATATATTGTGCGCATGTACTTTCGTCGTATTTGTCGTTGGCCGTCGCTGTGAGGATGATGATGAAGCGCTGGTACAATCCATAAACTCATCCTCATGGTCACAGGGGTTCAATTTATTTTTAAAAAGCCACTTGCCACAGGGCAAGTGACTTTAAGAAAGTAACTTGTCCTGACTAATTTTCCACTTGCCCTGATTTTATGACATAATTATGATGATGTAATTATGAAAGAAGAAAGCAACATGGTATTTGATGTTAATGTTTACTGGACTATTTATTGAAAAGTGATAAATAGAAAAGAAAGATAACATTTTGAGGAGATATGAAATTAAATCAAAGTTTATTTGCAGTTTGAAACCATAAGTGGAAATTATCTGGTAGCCCACGGACAAGTAAGATACCATTATTTGATTGCCCGAAATGAAAAGTGACTTGTCCCGGGCGTCGGGCGATGGGCTTTTTTAACCCTTGGGTCACTGGCTTCATTCAGAAACTGAACAGCGCATCAGCTATGACAATTGACAATTTTTAATTGTAAATTTCTTAGATGTTTGATGTTTTCACACAATATTCTTTTACGGACAAATTTCTGATCAACTTACATCTAAATAGACAAATTTATTGTTTGTCCGTCATCCGAAGTCAACGTCATGGAAGGAGCCCAGAATGAGCCTGAAATCTGGCAGTAAACGCTAAACCCCAGGAACAACTAGCTCCGAAAAGCTGAATCATCACAGATCCAACATGACTGTTCACTGTTCACTCTAGTCATGAAAGCTGGAGGTTCAAATCTGATTTTAACTATGGCCCCCATTGCAGCTTTATTGAAAAAGGTATTTTGGTTATTTCACGGCCACGTTTACACAACACGTAATCAAAAGCGATATCGATTTGATTCGGGATTCCACGCGTTTTAATACTGTTTCTGACCAGTGTGGGAAACAGTTTCCAAAGTTTGCTAGCCAGTCGGGCTACTAATGACTGAAAGTTACTAGCCCACAAAATAATTCACAAGACCGAAATTTGAATTTAGAAACTAAGCAAAAGATTACAAAAATAGATAAGAATAAGATTTGTCGGCATGACACGGGTTGCATCATTTAGCTGCTTATTTAATGAACATTAGGTGTTTTTTTATCAGGCCATAATCTTGCATGATTTAAAAATGTATTGTAACTTAACAAGTCGGAGAGGGTCATATATATACAAAATTATGAAATATCAGTCACCGAAACAAGCACCAGTTACACACTTGTCTGATTTCCATGCAAAGTTTCACAGTGAATTTCAACAGCTTGTGTACTACGTCATGAAATCATAAACACACGTTTCACGAAATAATAGGACCTTACAAAAGCACGCAAATAAGCATTTTAAAATACGTTGCCAGCATATTTTGTGAAATATTGTTGACGTGTGCAAGATTTTCAGGTAAGTTGATTTGGACACTGGTTCGATTCCCCCAGTGACATAATGAATGAATCAACGTATTCTTTCATCACCTGGCCGTAGAAAATAGGTTCCCTTATTGTATGTGTTTAAAGATAATGGATCTGTGTAATGAACTGACGAAACGCAAAACAATGTGTGCCAGAAACTGGTTAACTGATGTATTATTTTCAACCAAACACTTTTGAATAAAAAAATATCACACCACTTTCAAAGTTAAATGGTGTTAAAACCGTGTAGAGTCTCACAAAGCAGCCGTATGTACAAGGTCGTGACAGGACAAAGCTGAATCAATTTTACATCTGTGCTAAAATGAATTCACTATACTTGTGGTCGTTGTTTGGCTTAAATATTTACATAACGAAATAAGATGGTGCTCGGTCTACATCAGTGAGTGGGTGAGCTTAGTTTTACACCGCTTTTAGCAATATCCCAGCAATATGACGGCCAGGGATATCAGAAATAGGCTTCACACACTGTACCTGTGTGGGGATCGAACCAAGGTCTTCGTCTATATCGGCCTGAGATAACAAGATAGGTATGTAGTCAAATACGTCTTTTCAACATAAGACTGAACACTTATCCATACTGATGTGCATGGTGTCATCACCAGACACAGCCTCAAATAGGTGACATACACACATCATTGTACATACTAGCTTCACGAAGCATTAGTCTTCTAAGCAAACAATATGTAAACACAAAACCACGAGATATTGCGAGATGACATCTTACTGAATACGCAAAAAAACTTAGCGTAGACTTGAAAATTAGATGTGACAAACATTACAAACGTCGTCATTACATTACTTTACTGACAAATAGTCCTGAGAAGACTGCACACTTAAGGACCAAAACACATCTATGATACCCCTATCACATACAGCGCCATCGAGTAACTATTTCCAGTCTTTGTTTGATTGATAGCCACCGATGTGTACAGATATGTGTACTCTCTTTTGATCGGTAGTATATATCACCACTGTATCCTACGCAATAAAATGATGCAACTTTCACAAATATCACACTTTTAAAAAAGAATTATTTTTTTTGCACACGTACAGAGAAACACGCATCGTGTACACTGCATGATAACTGCATAGGTCCAGCAATTCAATGTCATAAAAACTAAAATACACTTATCTTGTCAGAATGTCGCAGCCCTCGTCTTCCTGTTCCGTTTGTTCCTTATACAAGTCGAAAAAGCCCTGAAAATAACACGTGTGAAATACTGCTTACTTTCCAGAGAACAGTCGATATCCTCCATTTCTATGTGGTTTGTCGTCTGCTCAGAGCACGTGCCAGGGTAGATAATTCTACCTTACTCGTGTGCACACGTTACCGACTCGTGTTATTCCGGGAATAGCGACTCGTGCCCCTCACGGAGTATGAACATCAGAACTGCTTCCAACAAGAATGTCAAATCTATTCCTATTTAATTCCAACAGAAATAAACATTACAGAAGCACTAAAATATGATGTTTTAAATGATTTTAACCCGCTATAAATGATAATAATGATGATGATGATTTGTTGAGAACATATTCTAACGTAATTGGTACCAGCTGTTCACCTTATGACCAGAAATTATTGAGAATTTTAGGAATATGTTTAATTTGCATTTCTAGTATAAACAACCTTGACCAGCTATCAAGTGCTTGGTTTCATTCAAGAGAGACAACTCCGTTAATCCTTTTTCATTAGTTTGTGAAGAGTTATCCCCCTTTGTTTACTTGGTAGCAGACGACATTTTCAGTGATCCTCAGTATGGATGATTTAGAGAAGTGGAAGTTGATTTTAGAGTATATTAACAAGGACATCAGATCAGCTAAAGTGATTTCAAGTAGAACAGGCATCCCTTTGTCCACTGTTTATCGTGTTTTGAAAAATATCGCAAGTGGATATGGCATTGAGCACCAGGGAGGCGCAGGTAGGCC